GCCTACAGTTTTTACAATCTTTTTCTGTAGTTGCTATATACATCCATGTTTTAGTTGTTTTGGTCATCACGTTTGGACAAAAACCAGCATGCGTATAGCTATTGTACAATTCTGCTATGGACTTATGAAGTAGACTTGTCTGTAATGTTTTTGGGATGTTACTTAATGACTGAGCTATAGATGTCTGTTCACGTTTTGTACAAGTAGCATTACCCTCTTAGGAGTTGCTGAGTATTTGGGTCCTCCTATAGTCCTGCACAGTCAGGCAACATGCATTTCCTTCACTCATTAGGAGACAGTAACCAGTCCTTGATCTTTGTTTTGAAGTTTGTTTAGTGGTAAAGAACCTGGATGGGGTAAGGAGTGTATGGAATACCCAAGGGAAATGGCTGAGGACAAAACTCTTTAGCAACTATGTACAAGTCTTTACAGAAATGTTTTTCTTCTGAAGAGCTCACCAGCATCTCCTGTAGTATCACCCCAGACCCCATTGGACTCCTCTCCTCATTCAGCTGTACTTGGTGAATCCCTGGGCAAGGGATCCAGTGCCTGCCACTGCAGTGTGAGACAGTCCCAAATAAGATAGCAAATCCAGTTCCTCACTAGAGTGCTCCTTTCCCCTTACTAGTCCAGGGGGTGCAGGTTTACTCACTTGGTCCCTCCCCTGTGCTACCAGTGGGTTGATGGCTCCTACCAGGCCTTCTAGCTAGGCAGATCATTCCCTGCAACACAGGTGGTCCTCTCTCAGGGTGGTCCCAAGTTTTCCACCTTCCAAGATCCTCTGCCTGCAGGTGAGCACCTCTCCATTTGGGCCCCCTCACAGGCTCCAGCCCAAGCCTCACATCCTTCTCTCTTCCACCCAAACTCTCCTGCTGCTGAGCAGGCTCAATCACTTTTAAGGGTTGTCCTGGCCCCTTGCCAAGCCTCCTGTTGAGGTTTGGCCAGGCTTTCTCAAAAGTGCAGATCAGCCACTCCTCAGATCCACCCACTGCTTCTACACCTTTCTCCAAAAGTCTAGAGTAGGGGGAAATTTTAGGGGGCTGGTCTGCAGAGCCTCTCAGCTCCAACTGAATTTTGACCCCTGCTAGCTCTTACTCTCAGGCTGCTGCTCATCCCTAGCTAACAATTGGAATCTAGCACCCCCTACTATCTAGGAGGGAGCTCCATACAGCAATACCAAGAGCTGTTTAATCTAAATCTAAATGTCGAACCTGCTATCAATCAACGACTGGATCTCTCTTTGATAAAAATATTAACATAGTATTGCCAGAATTGATTGGACTCCCATTGGCTTCAACTGGGTTTGGATTAACTTTCAAATTCAGGAGCAGTTGGGCAAATATCCCACAAACCGTACCCAGGCACTTTCAGCTCATCACTAGTAATGAATACTGATTTTTTTTGTGTTATGCAGCATATATAACAACAGAGATGGGTGAATCACAAAATGATTTGCATAGGAAAGGATGCTGGCCGCACCTTTTTTCCCTCTCCAGAATGCCTAACCATCTAATTAATTAAATAAATATACACACGCAATCTTTAATGGCATAAAATTGGCATCTTATTGGTTTAAATAAATAAATAGTAACAACATATTATAAATAATTAATTAATAATCAAGCTTATACTTCTCTTATCAAATAACAATCAAATAGCTCAGACGTTAGGGACTCAAGCTCAAACTGAATAAATATAACAACAGTCCCCTTTTTAAATATAAGGGGTGAAAATATCACATAACGTGCTTTGCAACAAGATGGGGGAATGGGGAGCTTGTTGCGCTGACACTGACCAGCTGGCAAAAGCCCTCCAGCGGAGCTCCTTTATATATGAGCCCCACTGTTCTAGAACCTTCTAACCAGTCATGTGACTTTCTAGAATTTTCTCCAAGGTCACATGATACCTGTTTTTCCCGCCTATTCTTTATTTAAAATTTTAAAAACACAGTAACCTTAATAAATATTTATTTATTATTTAAAACAGAGGGAGAGGGGGGCGGCCGCGTGCCCATGTTACCGGGCCCAAAGGGACCTATTAATACATTCTTTTGGCAAGTGATATGACACCTATATTAATTTTTCCAATGTATATTTAGCAGTTTGGCTGGATTTACCCTTAACTGATTTACATGGCACAACAGCTTTCTTTTCTTTGAATACTTTTATTCATTGAGATCTTTATTTATGGTAACAAAATCCTTCAACCAGTTATGCGTATTTACTAAAGAGATCAATGAGTGAGAACAGTAAAATACAAGCTTTCATTCTACTCAATTTATGTAAGATGTTTTACCTCTTTACATTATTATCAGTGTTCATTTTCATTGCATTTTGTTCTTGTTTCAGTACTGAAAGACTTGATTAAAATTTGTGAGGCATACATTAGATGGCACTGCTAATGTCAAATTCCCAGCAATATTGTCGTGTGAAGTCATTTGATATATAGGTCCATTATTTTCTGAAAAATGATGAGCTGGTTTGAAAACATGCTATGCTTGTTTCACTTCTACACAAAACCAATAAATATGGTAATGAAACTAATTGTGCCATTTATTTCTACATTACTACTGCATAGTCCTGAACTTGGCAAAATTCTACAACTACTACAATTTTGTTCCCTAATATAATTAGAAAGCTTTCATATACTGAAAAACCTGAATTGTCTTTCAAACTAGGAACATAAATGTAATATATATTGCAGCTTACCTGTACTGATGTGGTGGTTGCATTTGTTTTCCTTTCCTAGTATTTTTTCTTCATTTTCACCCAATGATTATGCCAGTAACACACTTTCTGTCCTAGGTTGGCTACACTACTATGGGTGGCCCCTTTCTCATGGACACCTATGTCAACCTAGGACAGGAATTGTATTGTATTAACAACAGAACATCTCCATAAGTTGAGGAGATATGTTCTGCAGTTCACAGAGGTTGCACTTATTGAACAGATATAAATAAAGCTTTCAATGGTAGGCATATTTAGCAGACCAAAAGGGAGCAAATCAGAGAAGTTCGTTGTTATGGTTTACGTACACGTTAACTGTACAAATAACACGTTAACTGTAAAAATATGTACCATACACTAAGCTTTCAGAGAGACTAGAATAAAATTAAAGCAGATAACATTTTCTAAATATCTCTGTTAATTACAAATTAATATATTTCACAGATGATATGGGGTTTATTTACTAAAGTTGAAGTGTGCAAAATCAGGCTCACCAACCAGCTTCAGGTTTTATTGTCAAAGTTTAATTGAACAAGCTGAGGTTAGAAGTTGCTTGGTTTCTATGCAGAAGTGAGCCTAATTTTTCACTCGTCACCTTTAGTAAATAAACCCCTATATGTTTCAGTCTACTATACTATATTATGGAACAACTATACAAAGCAAAAAAAACTAAATTTAAACTGGCACAATATACACTTCTGTTAGCAGTTAAAATGGGCACAGTATGTACAACTGTTAGTAGTACAAAAGAGCATTTATTGGATTTAATATGTTTTTAATATGTTCAATAGGCAGTGCTCTTATACTGTATACAACTTAGCTGAAACACTTTCTGCTCCTAAAAGAGAAGTGTAGTCCTCGAGAAAAACAAACATGCATACTCACCTCCATGTTGAAGCACTAGTTTGATGTTAGTATAGACTTTAGGGGACATTCTCTGGACCATTGGCTTACTATCCACTGTAGACTGTAATTGCTACTGCTTATCTAAGTATTTGCCAACTGTATATCCTATTTGTTACAATTCTTTATAGGAGTTGTTGCCATTTCCATTTCTCTAGTTGCTATATATATATATTTTTATACATACATATACATATATACTATATATATATATATATATATATATATATATATATATTGTAACAGGGTTCGCTTGGCAGCGGGTGTGTGTGACCCCCTGGATTGGTGCACAACACAAAAACACAGGCACAGCACAACAACAGTGGAGGTGAAAAAACAAAAAGGTGCAGTTTATTTACAAAATTTACAGGAAAACGTCAAACCAAAAAGAAACATCAAATCAAACCCTGGCCAACTTGGCTACTTACTGTACAATTAGCTTCCCTAGCTATCCACCAGGTACAGCCTGATACTATACCTAGTCCCTGTTAGTTGGAGGCTTAGCCACACAGGCTTTTGTCTCCCTGCACACAGACAATATGTTGCTCCCCAGTCAGTTCAGGCACAGATCTGGTTCCAGGGTGGAGCAACTCCCTAAGCAGCTTGGGAAGTTTTATCAAGGCCTTAATGAGCCCACTACCTTCAGCTGGGCTCATTACCTCAGTGCTGAAGGGCTCAGCACTTCCCCCTAATGGAACAAATCCCCATAGAGTCTAAACCTTGGACAAATGTATCGTCCATCCAGGACGCAACCAGGTGATTTCACCTGCCTACTACACTCACAATATATATATATACATATATATATATTTACAATAAGCATCTTCAGCCTGGGTGCGTCAAGGAGTGTAGGGCTGCTCCTATGGGGGTTAGGCAGTGTTAAATATCTAAATTTCTCATACTACATAACTTTTTTTTTTATCTTATTTTAACTACTTCGCACTTTCACACCCATCCAGTCTAGGCTAATTTTCAGCTTTCAGCACTATCATACATTGAGTGACAATTACTCAGTCATGCAACGCTGTACCCATCTAAAATGTTTTATCCTTTTTTGAGACAGGTAGAGCTTTCTTTTGGCGGTATTTGATCACCACTGGGGTTTTTATTTTTTGTTTTATAAATGAAAACAAATACTGATAATTTTGAAAAAAAAAATTTTGCTTAGTTTTTGTTATACAATTTTTTCAAATAAAGAATGTTTCTTCACAAATTTAGGCCAACATGTGTTCTGCTACATTTGTTGGTTAAAAAAATAACCCAAAACAGTGTATATTATTTAGTCTGTGTGAAAGCTATAGAGTCTATAAACTATGGGTATGATATATTTGAAAATTGATCTGTTGAGACCTTGAAATGCCAGACGCGGGTACGGCGTATGGCAGTGATCAGAACGCTGGTATGGGGTATAGCGGTGATCAGGACATTAGCATGAGGTATGGTGATGATCAGCTGGTATGGCAGTAATCAGGACACTGGTATGGGGTAGGGGGGTGATCAGTATGCTTGTATGCAGGTGACCAGGATGCTGGTATAGGGTATGGCAGTGATAAGAATGCTGGTATGGGGTATGGTAGTCATCAGAATGCTGGTATGGGGTATGGTAGTGATCAGGATGCTGGTATGGGGTATGGGTTATGGCAGTGATCAGGACGCTGGTATGGTATATGGGGTGATCAGGATGCTGGTATGGGGCATGACAGTGATTAGGATGCTGGTATGGGGCATGGTGGTAATCAGGATGCTGGTATGGGATATGGCTGTGATCAGGGTGCTGGTATGGTGTATGGTGGTGATCAGGGCACTGGTATGGTGTATGAAGGTGATCAGGGTGCTGGTATGGCCTATGGCGGTGATCATGATGCTGGTATAGCATATGGCAGTGATCAGGGTGCTGTACATTCACAGACTGCAGGATCACTTCTCTCTGCTCTTACACTGAGAGCAGAGAGAAGCAATCTTTACTTTCACTTTCCATTGGTCCTATGTGAGTGCTGTGATTGGTCACAGCAGTCACATGGTAAAAACATCATGTGATCACCTGGACACAGTGATAATGTGATCTGCTGTGTCCGGGCGACACATCAATTGCTGGGCTTCTGAGTGCTTGCTCTGTGAGCCGCACAGGAGCCATCGATGCGGGCTGTTGTACAGGCATGTAAGCCCACATTGACAAAGCTTCCTGTCCGCTGTCTATGGGCAATGGGCAGACAGGAAGAGGTTAATAAGCCATGCATACCTCAGCCTACAACATTTTTTACAGTATAAATAAACAGGAACTTATGGTGGCTATGAATTATGAAAAGTACCAGGTGGCCTTAATAAGCATTGGGGTAACATAATATTCCTGTTTGTAAGAAACAATCAGTGTTGGGCTGATAATTTAAGCTACTCTGGGATCCTTTGTTGGTCTCTGGTGAGTTTGAGTTTTTTTCTCTACACTTCTCAAATTCAACTCAATTTGGTGCATACATTTGCTAGCATTACAAAGGTGTGTCTATTGGCCCTATAATGTTGTCCAATAGGCAGCACTCATATATGCTACTCAACTGAAACACTTTATCCTTTTAAAGGTTAATTTCACCTTCTGGAGCCTGTTACAGATTGCACCCATATTTAGGGTGTAACAAGTTCCAATACCTATCTTGCCCTCCCCCCCCCCGATGCACCCCCTGTGACAGCAGGAGGGGATCCTCTCCCTGCACCTACTGTCATATCAAAAAACAGCACAGGGCTGTTTGAATGGGCTGCTGTACCTGTGGGAAATCCAGGAAAAGGTCCCTGCACCATTTCCAAAACTGCAGCTGCAGGGAAACTGCATAGCATAGGAAAACGTTTCATGGGTTCCAATGTATGGAGTGCCATTAACTGCTTGAGCTCCTGAAGGTTTTGCCCTCTTCATGACCAGGCCATCTTTTACTATTTGCACTGCGCTACTTTAACTGGCAATTGTGGTGCCATGCAACACAGTACCCAAATGAAATGTTATTTTATATTACAGTATATAAACAAAAAAGACCAAACCTTTTGAGCAAAAAAATGATATTTTCCACTATCTGTTATAAAGATGTAACACCATCTAGCATAGATAGTTTATTTAGTGTTGCTAGAGCCTTGCTGGAAGCCTGGGTGCAAGACAGAGTTACTTCAGGACAAGCTGGAGGGCTCTACAGGTCAGTCCTATGACACGCCCCCCTGCTTTAGAAACTTGGAGAAGCTTCTAGAAGTCAGTAGGAGGACATTTTATATTTTTTTACTCAATATTTTAAATATTTTTTAAGTTTTACATTTAAGTTCTTTTACATTTTTTTTTTGCGATTTTTTTACACCCTTTCATCAAAGTAGCTCAATGTCATGATAGATACATTGTACTACTCTGGAAAGGTGGTGGTGGGGGGGGGGGGGGGATTGGTCAATAGGGATTTTTTTTTTGGTTACTGCTCATTATATAAGCAATAGCTTTAGCTGTCAATAATGGGTTCCCCATTCATGAATAGCTTGCTTTTGGCTGAAGATCATTGTATAAGCAATAGCTTTAGCTGTCAATAATGGGTTCCCCATTCATGAATAGCTTGCTTTTGGCTGTGATCAGTGACTGGCTTAGCTAATCACATGGTACAGGTAGGTGTGGGCCAATCACAGATCACAAAAGTAAGCAAGCTGTTCATGATGTTGCTAACAGCAGCAAGTTTATACTGTAGATGCAGAAAAACATGCTATCTACATCTGAACCTGATCTGATCTGAGCCTAGCCTTACAGTGTGGAGGGTTTATTAATATATTTATTATTGATTGTTATGGTTTATGACACTACGCTACCTAATTTTATATGGTAAACTATATACATAAATACATTTATAGGAATACTGTATTGACATAAAGCTAATTAATTTGAAATGGATAACTGAAAACAGGGGCGGACTGACCATTTGGAAACTTGGGCACTGCCCAAGGGCCCGGGGTCAGTAGGGGGCCCCATGAGATGCCCCTGGTACCTTTTTCATAGGCTTTTTTGAGTTTGGGCAAGGACATAGGGGCCCCATGATCCCCCATGAGCTGTCTGTCCACCCCTGACTGAAAATATATGATAAAAAGAACACATCCCCACGTAATTAAAAACTGTTGAACTTGTCTAAGGGACATGTTGCAAATGCAAGAGCAAATTCACGATTTATAGAGTAGTCATCATGGTGAGGTAGAAAATAGGGCAGCCATTTTTCCCCCATCACATCTCTACTTTACCTGCTTACACATTACCTATGAATGCCTGACTCTTTCTTCTAGCTGTCACCAGAAAAGGGGATGGGAAAAAAAAAGGAATAAAATAGGCATTAAGAATGGATATGATTGTAATTGTTCTTGAATGCCAGTTTTGTAGTCTAGCCTATCTACTTGGTTTGATAATATAAACCAGCAAAGTACAGAAAAACATGTATGCACATATACTCTATATAAATTTGTATTATATAAGTTTTTTATATATATATATATATATATATATATATATTCCAGTTTTTTTACTCTAGCCTAACTGTTTGGTTTCCTCAATATAAACCAGCAGACCAATAGAGCAGGAGTCCTCTCTAGCTGTTCTAGTGCTCTATTTTTATTCTAATTAGATGTGGGTTCCTTCCCTGCAGCTCAAAAGAGTAAAAAAAGCATGCAATTCTTGAGTAAAGATGAGTGCAGAGGATGCCCAAGCTCATCTATTGTGTACACACACACACACTATATATATATATATATATATATATATATATATATATATATATATATATATATATATATATATATATATATCAGTATATATATTCACACATTCCAAATTCCTTTGTCTATTGATATAGAACATTCTTAGTGGGAATATTTATTTTATACATCATAGTGGCATTGAATGTTATGAAGTAGTTAAGTCGATCAATTTTAATAAGCAACAATATAATGTATTCTCTCTGAAAAATCAAATCAAATTAAATATTCCTTAGGACCATGGTCAGGATTTGGCTTTGGATCCTAAGAGAATTTCTCCTTCAGTGTTTTTCCTAAATTAGGTAGTGCTATTCTCAACATGCAAATGTAAAAATGCCATTAAAAGGTTGAGCACACAAAAATAATTGTCTAATTTCTTTATACCCTGCTAAAGGTAGATGGTTAGCTACAGCCGTTAAGCAAAGAAAATTAAGGTGTTGCATTGCATTCTCAGCAGCAGTATAATCGTAGATTCTAACTGGCCATAAAATTATTGCAATACTGTAGCTGTGATAAAGGTTTAAAAAGAAATGATCATTTTGATTTGCAATAGTTTGATTACTATGGTGTTCAAAGGTAAAGTAAAAACTCTCATGAACAAAAAGGATAGAAAAAAATGAATGGATCTGATACCTAAAAAAAATGACCTTTTTGGGGATCTAAAGTTTTGAACAAAGAACCCAACAGGATTTTGTAAAAGCTGATTACTTTTTTTAGTCCTCACAACCTGCCTGTCATAGGTAAAAACATAAAAAATCTTAGTTTAAACAAAAAGCTTCATTTTAAAAATTTAATGTGCATTTGTAATGTAAAAGTCTTAATTTTTCACTATACAATATTCTTTATTTTATTTTAAAAGGCCCTGCATACCTCAGCCTGGGCTATTTGCTCTCTAGTGTCAATTAGAAAGTTATTATGGCCTAGAACTTTTAAAAGTACTAAGTTGCTATACAAAACATTGCGGTAACATTAAAGCGTCAATAAATCCACATCATTAAAAACTGTCAGTGCATGCAGTATTACATATTGTTCATACTCAGTCTGAGATTGTGTAGACCAGTCATTGCCACATCTACAGAGCATGCTCCAGTTTTAATTCCCCTCTAAGCTGTTTATTCCCTCATTTTTTTTTTACCTGTACAGCAGAGGCGTAGCTAGGATATTTTGCACTCGGTGATGAACGGCCACCTCATGACACCCCCCAGCTTCATATAGTCCCTGTAGACACCCCCCCCCACGTCCTGATCACATTGCCCCCCCCCCTTCATCCACGGCACTACTCACCCGGCTCGGCTCTCCCCTCGTCCCCTCCAGGGCACATGCCCAGCTCACTGCCCTCCTCTCCGCTCCTCTCCCGGCAGGCTCCTCTCATAACTCACTGTGGATGGCAGACGTATCAGATGACACGTTTGCTGCAGCCGCTGCAGTGATCTTGTGACCTCATTTTGGCGCCCCTGTACCTTGGCGCCCAGGTACATATGTACCCCTCTGCCCCCCCTAGCTACTCCTCTGCTGTACAGTTGACATGACTATAGAATCACACAAGTGGGCGTATACACTCCAGATAAATGACAGTCCCTCCCTCATGCCCACTAAATAGCTAAACACAATGGGGGTTGGATATTACACCTTTCTGTAAGTATAAACACATTCAAACAATAGACACAGGCTGGGGGTGGCATAAAACAGGCTGTGACTGGCATAACCTCCCCCTATATAGCCCACGCTATGTTTTTGCACAAAATTATTAATGTTTTAAGCTCAAATACATATTGATATAATTATTTAAATAATTTATTTGATATTATGTATTTTTCCTTTGAATTTTGAAGGCTTTTTTTTTATTTTTTTATTGAAGATGTGACCAGCAGAGAATCAGGATCTATAGACACTCCTCCCATTGATGTTTCCCTACAGACAGGCTGGGAAAGAGTTGGGACACATCTCAAATAAGAAAGAATAAATACAGTGCCATCACTCATATACACAAAGAGAAGAGATATATAGAATGAAATAGCATGTGTATAGTAGCACTTAAACAATTTTGAAAGAAACAATAAGGGCTCATTCACATTAGAATGCAGTACCAGAAACCCATGTTCCGTGGCAGTTTCCCACACCGCATTCAGATTGCACTGCCCTTGTGAT